TAGGAGAATAAGTAAAAATAAGTAAATAAATAAAAAGTAAATAAAATTTAGAAAAAGAAAGAAAAGAAATAAAAGAAAATAAAGAAGCTTCGAAACTGACAGTTGGATATCGGAAAATTATTTTCCGATAATTTTTACTTCAATTCACCCTCCCTGACAACAATTTACTCGCTGAGTATCACACAACGGTTAATAAACTTAATGCACTGAACATTTTTCTTTTAAAGTAACAAGCATTTCTTGTATAGTCTAGTCACCCGTGTCAAGCAGATGTTTGCGAGTTCTATATATATATATAAATTTTATATATTTTATATATATATATATATATATGGTTATACCAGGGTTATATTCTAGTCCAAACGCGAATCTAAACCACTATATTAACCTGCGCGCTAAATTAAACCGGACGCGCTTTTCGGCTCATTCATGCGCAAATATTTCAACTCAAAACATCGCCAGGATTCACGATCCAACTGAATTAATCTCGATTCATGACTGTAACAAAACAAGATACCCCTTTATGTTACTCATTGTGTCTCTCAACAAGACATGCGTCCTCGTTTTTTTTCTTCTTCCCTCTTCTCATTTTTTTTTCTCTCTGGAAAAAGTCTTTTATTTTCCTTTTTTAGAGCAGAAAATTAAAAAAGTAAGTTTTGAAATGAAATTTTCTGGAGAATGAAAAATTATGTTTTTTAATAAAAATTTTTTTGATGAAGGAAACAGATTCCCCCTTCTTTTCTTTTTGTTATGTGAAAAAATTGTTTGAAGAGTTGAATTTTTTCTTTTTTAATTTGTTAAAGTTGTTTTATTATTATTGCAAAATAATTTGTTCGCAGATAGAATATATTTAATTTAATTTACTCTGTTAATTTGAATAATTTCTCTTTAGCAAAAATTGAGAAACTAATTTTGCATTAGAAATTATATTCGTTTTTTTTAATTTTCAGTAAAATATTGAATTTAAATCTTATTTTTTAGTTACGATTTTTGACTAAACTAAAATTATAGTTTTAAAAAATAAAAAATACTAAACAACTAGAAATTAGTAAAAAAAGTATTCTTACTGTAATGTAAATTATTGACTTAATTTTCACTAATTTAGATTTAAGGAGAATAATTAATTGTTTCTTTGGTTCAAAAGTTTCAGCAGAAGATTCTTTCTTAATTATTAATTTTTTGTTTTAATTATTATCTGTTCTAAATTTATTTCAATATCATTCGTTAATAGAATTCAATAGAATTAAATAGTATTAAATAAAATTGAATAGAATTCACTAAAATTCAATACAATTCAATAATAATAAATATAATTGAATAAAATGCGAATAGATTGACATAAAATTCAAGAAAAGTGAATAAAATTTAAATTAAATGCAAAATAATTGAATTTAATTGAATGGAATACAATAAAATTCATTAGAATTGAATAAAATTTAATGTAAATCAGATTTAATTAAAAATAATTCAATAGGATTGAATAGAATTTAATGAAATTCAATAAGAACAAACAGATTTGAATAAAATTTAAATTAACTTGAATATAATTAAATATAATTCAAGAAAATTCAATAAAATTGAATGCAATTCGAATTAAATTGAAATAATTCCATAAAATAGAATAGAATTCAGTAAAATGCAATGCAATTCAATAAGAATAAATTGAATTTGAATAAAATTCGAATTTAATTAAACAGGATTTAGGATAATTGAATGAAATTCAAGTTAAATTAAAAATAATTGAATTCAATTAAACAGAATTCCATGAAGTTCATTAGTATTCAATAAAATGTAATGTAATTCAACTCAAATTAAAAATAATTGAATTTAATTGAATGGAATAAAGTAAAATTCATTAGAATTCAATAAAATTTAATGTAATTCGGATTAAATTAAAAGTAATTCAATAAAATTGAATAGAATTCAATGTAATTTTATAAGAATAAATAAAATTAAATAAAATGCGAATTTATTGGAATAAAATTCAAGAAAATTGAATGAAATTAAAATTTAACTAAAAATAATTGAATTTAATTTAATAGAATAAAATAAAATTCTTTAGAATTCAATAAAATTTAATGTAATTCAAATTAAATTAAAAATAATCGAATTTAATCGAATGGAATAAAATAAAATTCATTAGAATTCAATAAAATTTAATGTAATTCAACTCAAATTAAAAGTTTAATAGAATCCAATAAAATTTAATAAGAATAAATAAAATTGAATAAAATGAGAATTTATTGGAATAAAATTCAAGAAGATGGAATGAAATTCAAGTTAAATTCAAAATAATAGAATTTAATTGAATGGAGTACAATGAAATTCATTAGAATTCAATAAAATTTAATGTAATTCCGATTAAAGTAAATATAATTCAATAAAATTGAATAGAATTTAATTAAATTTAATAAGAATACATATAATTGAATAAAATTTAAATTAAATTTAATAGAATTCAATGAAATTCAATAGAATTCAATGAAATTCAATAGAATTCAATGAAATTCAATAGAATTCAATGAAATTCAATAGAATTCAATGAAATTCAATAGAATTCAATGAAATTCAATAGAATTCAATGAAATTCAGTAGAATTCAATGAAATTCAATAGAATTCAAGGAAATTCAATAGAATTCAATGAAATTCAATAGAATTCAAGGAAATTCAATAGAATTCAATCAAATTCAATAGAATTCAATCAAATTCAATAGAATTCAATCAAATTCAAAAGAATTCAATCAATTTCAATAGAATTCAATCAAATTCAAAAGAATTCAATCAAATTCAATCAAATTCAATCAAATTCAATAGAATTCAATGAAACTCAATAGAATTCAATCAAATTCAATAGAATTCAATCAAATTTAATAGAATTCAATCAAATTTAATAGAATTCAATCAAATTCAAAAGAATTCAATCAATTTCAATAGAATTCAATCAAATTCAATAGAATTCAATCAAATTCAATCAAATTTAATGTAATTCGAATTAAATTAAAAATAATTCAATGAAATTAAATAGAAATAAATTAAATTCAGTAAGACTAAATAGAATTGAATAAAATTCGAATTAACTTGAATAGAATTGAATGGAATTAAATAAGTTTGAATGTGATTCGAAATTAAATTAAGAATAATTTAATAGAATTCCGTGTAATGAAATAATATAAAATTGATGATAATTCGAATGAAATTAAACAGAATTTAATAAACTTGAATGTAATTCGAATGAAATTGAATCAAGAATTCACTAAAATTGAATAGAATAAAAATAAACAATAGCAATAAGATTAGTAACAGCAACAATAATAATTAGACAAAGTATTTTCAATCCAATTCGTTTAATTTTACTATTTTTCTCTCGGTGTCTCTTTTTTCTGTGTGTGTGTGGCAGGTGCAAAAAAAGGTTGTGCGACTAAATTAGAAAATAGAAATGAAGTAATTATTCGCGAGTTGAATGAAACCACAAAATGTATTTTGGAAGACGGGGAAAGGTCAGTTGGCGGATATTAATGAAGGGATTGTGGCGTAAACAACTATAGGTCTTCCCTTCCACTTACTAAAGTCGAGAGGGAGCTCTGGAAAAGCTTGAAACTTGGGAGAATATATGACCATCATATATCAGATGAGTGGAGGCGCATAAACTATAGAATCCCTCTATTTAGAAACAATCTCAGCTTGGTTAAGAAATGCTTTTCTCACGACAAATTTGTCAAAAGATTTTGCGAGTGTGTGCGTGTGTGCGTGTGTAAATGTGTATTTTCTGAATTTAAACACCAATGTATAGCTTCATCAGACATGTCAAGACTGTAAAACGATTATTCTAAACACTACTCTAATTTATGCGGGGAAAATTTGCATTAACTGCGCTAAATCTCAAATTCAAGATGCAAGAATTCATATCTGCGTGACGATATTTTATAATCTAATTAATGACATTGTTTATTATGGGAAAATTCATAATGTAAACAATTTCTACTGATGAATTTCAATTTTTAATTTTTGAAAATTTGGTTTACAATTGGAATCATTAATTAAATTACTAATTTATATCAGTAGTCTTCCCTAATTAAAAGTAAAATATTATTACTTTTTTTTTGTAGTCACAATTTTTTTTTACTCTCCGAATTTAAATTAGTAAAAATGTTTACAAATTAAAATTAGTGACTGACTATTTGCTTTTGAATTAGTAACTTTTACTAATAAATAGTGATTTAAACTAATTTATGAGTAAAATTCAATTACATTTCACAAAACAATGAAATTCTTCACTGAAATTCAAATATTTTCAAACTCTGCTATTTTAATAAAATTTCTTCAAAGAATTCAATTATTTGAAAAAAATGTACGAAAATGCGTTCCAAGAATTCAATTATTTTCCTAAATAATACAATTCTCTACAGGATTTCAATTATTTAAAAAAAAATTATATAAAAATTCGTTGCAAGAATTCAACTATTTTCATAAATAATAAAATTCTTTACAGGACTTTAATTATTTAAAAAAAAAAATATAATAAAAATTCTTTACAATGATTCAATATTATTCTCCTAAATAATAAAATTCTTCACAGGATTTCAATTATTTTTAATAGAATTTTAATGAAATAATTCTAAATAATTTAATTGTTCTTTTCAATTTTTATAAAATGCTTTAAAAGTATTCAATTATGTCTAAAAAATGCAATAAAATCCTATGCAAGAATTCAATTATTTAAAAAAATTCAATGAAATTCGTTGGAAGAATTCAAAATTATGTAGTTTCATAAATAATAAAATTCTTTACAGGATTTCAATTATTTTTAATACAATTTAAAATAATTTTTTCGAAAAATGTAATTATTTTTAAAAATTTTGATATAATTTTTTCTTAAGGGCATACTTTTGAAAATAATTGAATTTCTACAATCATTCGTAACTTCTTCTAAATTCAATTTTTTCCAGTACTTTAATAAAAATTCCTGGCATTTCCCTGACCTGTGGCAACTCTGAAAATGTTAAAATATTTTAAAAATAAAAAACTTGTAGAATTTCCATGGAAACTCCACGGAAAAAAATAATAACTTTCTTTACCTAAAATAACATTTTTTTACTGTCATATTTAGTTAGAAACTCATTAATTCATTTAATAGGTAAAGTTACTAATTTATTTAATAGCCTCCATATTACAAATTCAATTATAGTAAACTTTGACTAATTCACAGTAAACGAATCCATCGTATTTGAATTAGTCAATATCTACTAATTCAGATTTAGAGAGTATTTTTCAAGAATTCATTATTATATTAATTTTATTAAAAACCAAAGAACAATTTCAAGTAGTCGTCGACAATACATTAATTTCTCACTTGTATATTTAATTCTATAATTCTAAGTCATAAAATTATGATATGTTTTAAAAATTATTTTTAAGTTTAAAATATTGGGTGTCCATTAGGATTCATGCAACGGAAGTTACATTGCAGAAAAATCTTGCTGGTCTACCTGTTGGCAAACTACGATATATAACTGTCATCTTATTATTAACTGAGCTCATGGTCATTGTTCCAATTCCACAAAAAATCGATGGAATACTTAATATACTATCAGGATTAGTATTAATACTTAAATATTGATTCAAACACAGAAGCTGAAATATGAAATTTTAATAAAATAATTGTTAATATTTTTAAATAGAAAATAAAAGCAGTCAATATTTAAAATATTAATTAAATTTTTTTGTCGAAAGTTCTAAAATTTGTTAAGTCAAAAAGCTACAGCTTTTTTTTTCAAAATTCAGATTATGTTTAAATACTTTAAATACATAAAAATATTTATTTATCTTACCGATGATGGTATATTTATATCTTCACATTCAAGCAAAATTCGATAACCTTCAGGAGCCTCGGCCCTAAATCTGCAATATTTGGTTCCAGTGACATAATCTGGATATTCAAGATTATAAATATAATAAAGAGACCCCAAATTTACAAACTGATACAAGTCACAATCTGCTTCTTGAGTCTTACTTACATCCAGTAAAAATAGAAAAATAAATAGAAAATAAAAAATTTTCGACGAAATTCCTGAAAATATTTTTTAAATACAATAACAATAGTTATAATAAGCAAATTATATATCTTAAAACAATTAAACATCTTCTTTATCTATGATTTTAATTATAAAGTATGAATAAAATTATTTTATACAAAACATTAGAATTACCTGAATTATAACAATTTCTTGATCCTTGTTGATTCAACATTGTATAAATTTTTTTCTTTTTCAGTATACTTAGTATTTTCCAAGGATTTTGTATTTATTTCTTCCTCTATAATGTTTAGTATCAAATTAGTACTTATTTAAATTGCTGCTGGCTTTCTGTATCATTTTTTAATTTTTATTTACAAATTTTTTATATATACCACTTTGTGAGGTTACTTTGCATTTTTATCAGATAAAGCATATCCAGAAATCCATTATTCTTAATTATTAATTAAATATATATATTAAAAAATTTAACTACTTTCAATAGAAATTTAATTATTAACATTCTTGCAAAAATCTAAGTTCTTTAAAATTTCTAATTAAATTCTTTTGAAGTTCATCTATTTACGAAAATTGTAAACGCGACTCTTTTAAAATTCAATTAACTTTGAAATATTTAAGTAAAATTATTCATTAAATAATTTCTAAGTAATAAGTTTATGATAGTTCTTCAAGAATTAAGCGCGTAACTTGTAATAACACAAAATAATAATAATAATATAATAAAAAAATAATACTAGTATAATAATATAATATTATAGTATTATTAATTATATTAATTTATATTAATATTAATATTAGAAAAATATAATATTAATAAATTAATTAAATAAAAATAATTTAATAATAATGCACTGAAAAAAAATTTGATTCAAGTAAATATTTATTTGATAATAATAGAGAAATAATCGGTTACTTGAGATAAATAAATTTTTTTCAGTCTATAAATATAGTGATATAATATAATAAATTAATAATTAATAATTTTTATGAAATTTTTAGTTAAAATAAAGAAATTATTTAAAACTGAACTTTTTTTAAGAAAATAATTTATTTAAAAATATTTATTTTTAAGTAAATAACTAAAATTATAATTACAGGCAGCAAATATTATGAACAATGCTGATTTAGAGAATAATATTTTCTTTCCGTAAACAATTTTCCTATTTAGCAAACTTGTTTCAATCTCTCGTCAAAACTATTGATAATTTTACAAATTTTCGTTGCGGTATTTATACTGTGAATATTATACAATAAATGTTTAGTTTTCTTGTAATGTTTTCAAAATCACGTAAAGGAAAAATACAAGACAAAAAAAATTTAGTTTCTCTATTCAAAGAGAATAGCGTATTCTTTTATTTTCAAATTTTTTCCGTATATTTAAAATACTTCTATTTATTAAATTTACCTTTAAAATACATTTATTTTGAAAAATTAATTTTAAAGTCACGATTTTAAACATTCTAAATATTTTTGACAAATATTATTTTTAAACATACAATTAAGGTGATTGTTACTCAATACCAATAGTGTATAGAATAGATTATATTGTTGTTTTTCGCAATGAATTTTTAATTATTGGAAATTTATCGAATGAAAAATTTAGAAATTTTATTTTTTGCAATTAATTAAAGGACACCTTTTTCAAAATTTCTGAACGTATTTTGAAAATATCTGAAAATGATTTTGTAAGTTAGGAATTTTTATTAAAAGTTCTGAAAAAATTAAATTTTTAGAATTCATGACAAAATTCTGAATTTTCAATTTTTTCAATTTCTGATAAAAATTTCTTTTTAAATAACTTAAATCTTGTCAAAATTTCAATTATTTTCAAAAAAAATTATAATACAATTCTTAGCAACTATTCAATTATTTTCTTAAAGAATAAAATTCATCGCAGGATTTCACTTATTTTTAGTAAAATTATAATAAAATTCTTAGCAATTATTCAATTATTTTCTTAAACAATAAAATTCATCGCAGGATTTCAATTATTTTTAATAAAATTTTACAGGAATTGCTAAAAAATGTAATTATTCTTAAAAATTTAATTTCAATTTCTCGAAAAAATCAATTATTTAAAAAAATGTTTTTTTTTAAATTCTTTGGAAGAATTCAATTATTTACAAAAATATTAGAATTTTTTTACAGGAATTCAATTATTTTCGTATATTTTAATTAAATTTTTCGTAAGAAATCAATTATTTTAAATACAAAATACAATTATTCCTTTAGATTTTAATAAAATTCTTCCCAAGAATTCAATTATTTTTAAAAGTAATAAATTTCGTCTTAGAAATTCAATTATTTTAAAAAATTCTAAAAAAATCGATCGCAAGAATTCAATTATTTTTCTAAATAATAAAATATTTTTCAGTAATTCAATTATTTTCAAAAAAATTTTATAAAATACCACACAGATATTCAATTATTGTCAAAAATTTTAATAAAATCGTTCACAATAATTCAATTATTTTCATAAATAATAAAATTCTTCTCAGGAATTTAATTATTTTTAAAAATGAGAATAAAATTCTTAGCAACTATACAATTATTTTCAGAAATAATAAAACTCATCACAGAATTTTAATTATTTTTAATACAATTTAAAAATTTTTTATTAAAATTCTTGAAAAGAATTTAATTATTTGAAAATTTGTTAATAAAATTCTTCGTAAGAATTAAATTTTAAGAAACATTCAATTATTCAATAAATAATTTACTTTTGTACTTAAATAATTTATTTCTCGTAGAATTTTATAATAAAAATTGATTTGAAAATGATTTTGAAGAAGTTACTGTAACAATATTCTTATAATATAAAATAATTATTTATTTCCCATTTTTCATGGGAATTCAATTTTTTTTAAAAAATTTTTGATAAAATTCTAAGTAAGAATTCAATTATTTTCATAAATAATAAAACTTATCTAGGAATTTCAATTATTTTTAATACTACTTAAAATTATTTAATCGAAAAATTCAATTATTTTCACAAATAAAGTTTTTTGCAATAATTCAATTATTTTTATAAATATAATAAAATTCTTTTCAGGAATTCAATTATTTTTGAAAATTTTAATAAAATTCTTTTCAACTATTCAATTAATTTTAAAAATAATAAATTTCGTCTCGTAAATTCAATTATTATTTTAAAAAATTCTAATAAAATCGTTCACAAGAATTCAATTATTTTCCTAAATAATAAAATGTTTTTTAGAAATTCAATTATTTTTGAAAATCATAATAAAATTATTAGCAACTATTCAATTATTTTCCTGAATAATAACATGTTTTTTAGGAATTCAATTATTTTTGAAAATTATAATAAATTTCTTAGCAACTATTTATAATTATTTTCATAAATAATAAAAATTCATCGCAGGATTTCAATTATTTTTAATAAAATTTTACAGACCGTCTCAATGTGCGTACTTGTCCCCTATAGAAAAAAAAATAAAACTTTTAATTCCTACTACCATTATTTATAAACTTAATATCATCAATATGAATGAAATTTTAAATTCGACTTAAATTTCCCATTCGAATCTGATTTATTTCCAATCTCAAAGGCCTCTCGATTTTGTCATTGCTATTATTGTCAAAAATTTTGCAATACTACCGTGACAGGAACTAAAAGAGACACACATGAGATGAGATTCGAAGAAGTTAGTGGATCATTCTCGTTTTCTTTCTATTTTATATCAGAGAAGAAGGAATACATATATATATACAAATGTGGAATTGAAGAAACGTATCTTGAAGTAGTCGGTCAGGTTTATCTTTGTCTTCTCTTTATCTGCTCTTTTCCCTTTTCGATAGAGAATCCTTCCTTTCGTATCCTTTATTATTATTATTTCTTTTTACCCTGCCATTGTATTTTGGACAAAGCCAATGCAACGAATAACAGCTACCGGTTTTATCTCCAGCGGGCAACATTCGACAATATTAGAATGAAGAAGACATATATCTTTGCTTTCAATTTCTTGAGAATAAGAAGATGCGCCTTATGCAAAATTAATGCTCTCCTTCTTCTTCTTCTTCTACTTCTTCATGGAAAACTCATCGAAGCATTTATTTCAATATTTCTCCTAAACAAGAGGAAACATTTTCACTTATTCTTATAATTAGAAATTTTCTTTTTTTAATTTAATTAATCTTAATTTATTATTATTATTAATTATTATTAATTATTATTAATTATTATTAATTTAATTTCTTTTAATTTAATTTAATTTCAATTGTAATTAAACTTTTTCCATTTTTTAGTTATAACTACAAAATAGAAAAAGTTTCAAAATTGAAACTGTTTGATATATCAAACAATTTAAGAAAATAACTAATTTTAGAGAAAACAAAAATAAAAGAAACAATTTAATAATAATACTCCTAATGCGATTATTGACAATAATCGATTAAATTATCAGAATAATAATAATAACATCAAGAAAAATAATAATTAATTCACATTCAAAAAGAGGAGAGTAAAAAATTATAGATCCAAATATATAAGAGCGTGATAATAAAAAAATAATTATTATTTCATAATGGATTTATTATTAGCAGATTAAATTAAAAGCTGACCACCTAAATTATGCATTTAATAAAATTATCGATAATTCTAAAAAAAAAAACCTTTTTCTACCCAACTATACATTGGCTGTCAATATAAAGCTGTATAAACATTAAAAATATCCACCGTGAGACATCCTGTCACTATAATTTATTTTCATTACATGTAATAAGTTCTATATTTATTAAATGCTTCCATTCGAGTCTAGACTTGTGACCTTTCACATTATTAACATACCTGCTCTCCTGGAATTAAAATCAACGTTTCAATTGATTTCTAATTGTGCGCTACTGTATTCGACATATAATTCATAATGCGCCCCATTTTTTATTTTTATATTTCATATTATTTAGTCGATATAATATTATAATATTCACTTCTAATAATTTCACTATTACCTATATATACATGCTACTAAATAATTTATTATTAAAGTCAACATTAACAATTTTAATCAACCGATTTTCTCATTATCGACAAATTTTGTTACTGCAAACATTAATGTACTGTAGGTTGTTAATAATTAAATATGTTTCTTTTTTTGAAAACTATTTTACAAACTTAATATTGACTTCTGTGAAATATGTTTCGGTTTATTATTTCAATGTATTTAATTAACCAAGCAGCTATGCAAAAGTTGAATTAATAATTTATATTTTAATTAATATTAAGAGAATTGTTTTATTATTTAATCATTCCATATAGTATTTGATTTTTAATATTTTGATATCAAATATTATTATTAAAAAACTGTTATTATTACAATATTAATATTATATTGATTGATTTATTATTTTTAATGATATTAAACCAAATAATGAAAACGAATGAAAAATCAAAAGAAGAAAATGATTTAAAAATCTGAAGAGTTTCAATTTGAAATTATTGTCTCGAGATGCAGCATCCAAAGTGTCTTTCTCGAATACGAATACCACATTTTTTTCTCAACTTTAATAATATAATCCAAAATGTCCTCGCAGATTCATTCACACGAAATGATAAATATTCAAATATTCGCACTATATATAGTATATACTATTCCGAGTTTTAATTATTTTCATCGTTTACATAATTGTATTTAATGATTTTATTATTCTATATCCGACTTTATAGTGTGAGCTATAAAAATATTACAACTTTCATTTGCATACCAAACACACTGAATTTTCATCTTCTCTTTAAGCGTTCATAAAATTTTAAGAGAGTAATTAAACTACATTTTCAAAGTGCACTTTGAGAGATATATATATATATATATATATATTTATATTATATTATTGTAGATTAAGATTTACGTACACATAGACACGTGTATATATTTTCATAGAATATTTTATTTAGAGGTAAAAAAAATTATTTTTATAATTTATCTTAATTATTATTAAATTATTTCTCTTAATTGATTTTAATTTATTGTGAATTTATTTGATTATTTAAAAGTTAGTTAAAAAAAAAATTATTATCAAAAAATTATTTTAAAATATAAAACTAAAATTATAGACACAATTTGCCGTAATACAAGAAACAGTATCGATTGTGACATAAAAATAAGACGAATTTCATTAAGAACTGAATCTTTTTCATAAGATTCAAGAATTATTGATGTTACAATTTACAAATTGACATTTATCAAGTAACT